TCTCCCACCAGGATCTCTCTCTCTCTCTCTCTCTCTCTCTCTCTCTCTCTCTCTCTCTCTCTCGCTCTCGCTCTCTCCTTTTTTTTTTTTTAAACATATGCTCCATAAGGGTTCGAGGGGAGGGAAGGAGTGTTTGAGGGCCTTGGAGGAGGGTTTGCGGGGCGTTGAAGAGGGGCTGATGTCCACCTGTCTGTGGGTTCTGTGTGCGCAGGCGAAGTTGACGATGGCGCTGGTGAAGCAGATCTTGCAGTCTCTCACGAGGCACTTCACCGATGAAGGTCCTCACGGCAAGGACCCTGAAAAGGGGTCGAGGCACTGGCTGTGCAACTACTGCGAGACGCAGTTCGTTGGCACGAAGTCAGTCCTCAAGAGGCACTTCCTGACGAAGTGCAGTATGGAGCTTGTGACTCGTGCATTGACAGCGGAGGAGAGGGTGACCAGAATTGAGGGCATCCGGCTGGGGAAACACCAGGCCAGTCTGATCGAAGGCGCAACTGGTGGAAGTGGTGGTCCGAGCACAGGACCGTCTTCTAGCAGTTTCGTGCCTCCAGCATCATCAGCACAGAGGTCGAGTGATGGTGAGACGTCCTCGCCTGCAGGATCGGAGACATGCTTCCCTCCTGCCCCTGGAGGTGGTCGACGGTCGGTGAGGCAGACTGTGCTCGAGGAGGCGGACAGTATCGTCACTCAGAACGAGCAGACGAGTCGGAAGATGGATCGGTGGCTGATTTGCACGAATCAGCCATTCAGTATGGTGGAAAACTACTACTTCCTTGACTTCCTCGATGCCGTGAAGAAGTGCCATCCCAGCTGGCGGCCTTGCAAGAGGGACAAAATGAGGACAAAAAGGTTGGACGGGCAGTACAAGTTGGTGGGGGAAGACACGCGGTCACTGGTCAAGAGGTGGGAGAGAACAGGGTGCATGCTCCAAATGGACGGGTGGTCGGACCGGCGGAACAAACCGCACCTGAACGTCATGGTGTCTTCCCCGGTCGGATCTGTGTTTTGGAAGTCGGTGTGCATGGAGGGGAGGGAGAAGGACTCGAAAGCGTACTTCAAGTTGTTGGATGGGGTGATCCAGGAGATCGGCGCAGGGTCCATTGTCGGCGTTGTGATGGACAATGCGAGGGTTTGAGCCAAAGCGGGGAAGATGGCGGAGGCCAAGTACCCCGGTATTTTCAGTGTGGGCTGCACAGCCCATGCCTTGGATCTGGCCCTGGAGGACATGTACAAGTGCATGGACTGGCTGAAGGTGGTCATCGACAAGGGCAATCAAGTTGGCAAGTTTTTCACAAACGTCGACAAGGTCCGCGCAATGTACAACCGGATCGCGAATGCACAACTGAAACGGCCAGCGGTCACAAGATTCGCAACGAACTTTGAGATGCTCCAGTCGCTGAAGGCGGGGAGGAATCCGTTGGAGCTGTGTCTGCAATGCCACATGGGTGGAGAAGTTGGTGAGGGCGGAGCAGGTGGCGGCATTCAACGCCGTCACCCACATCATCATGGACACGAACGACTTCTGGAAGGTTGTGGATAAGGCCATTGCGGTGATGGAGCCAGTTGTCAAGCTCCTTCGTTTGGTGGACGGTCCAGGGGCAACAATGAGCAAAGTGTATTTCGGCATGGATGCGGTTGTGGCAAGAATGCGCACGCTGGACTGCCTGTCAGAGGCCGAGAAGGCGGATGTGGAGAAGATTTTGATGGACCGGTGGGCGTTCATGACATCAGAACTGCATTGCGTGGCCACCTTCCTCGACCCCGAGTACAGGACGCACACCATGCGAGACACGGAGATTCGCGAAGGGTTCAACATTTGGCTTTACTCGTGGGTGCCACCGGAGTTGCTGCGGGGAGAAATCAGCAGACAGGTGGACATGTGGGTGTAGGGATTGGGCACCTTGGGGTCGCAGAACGCAAGGGACCAGGCGAGTTCGAAGACTCCGGCGCTATGGTGGGAGGCGTTCGGGGGGTCTTTGGACCTCCTCCAACCGCAGGAGATCAAACTCCTTGGGCAGGCGAGCTCGTCGGCTGCGTGCGAGCAAAATTGGAGCTTGCACCAGCTCATTTTCGGCCAACGCCGCACGAAGATGTTGCCGAAGAGATTGAACAAGCTGGTGTACAACAATTGGAATATCCAATTGTCGACGCGAAGAGAGCGAGGGGACGGGGAAAACGTGCACATCCCGTGGAAGGACGATGAGATGGCAAGCATGGAGGTGGATGAGTGGTACGACGAATGGGCTGCACGGGTTAGGGAAGGGACAGCCGACGATGTTGCTGCGACGGAGGTCCGTGCGGATGATTTCGGTGATGCCCCGCTAGAGCGCACATGGCTGCGGAACAATGAGGAGGAGAACTTCGCGGATGACGAAGACAATATCGCCGCACTTGGTTCGATGGAGAGAACATGGCACGCGAACACGAAGCCCGGGAAGCACCGGATGCGGGAGCTGCGCATGAAGTCTGGTGTTCAAGAGCCCGAACCCGGGTTCGTGTACACGTTGGAGGGTCGTGACCGTGCAATGAAGGCACGTCAAACCGGCGAATGGGTGCAGGGGAGGGAGGAAGTGTCGGGGCGCGGGCGGCGCAAGAAGAAGGCAACGGCATCGGACGTTGCTGAGGAACAGCCGGTTCAGAAACGAAAGAGGAAGGTCGCGGAGGAGGATGCAGCACCAAAAAAGAAGAGAGGGCGGCCTCCGCTTTCGCCCGCGAACAAGGCTGCAAATGCAGCAGCACGTGCAGAGGCCGCAAGGGCTGCGGCAGCCGAGGTGGGAAGGCCTTCGAGGAAGAGAATGGCCGAGGTGATCGAGGATGACGAAGAAAATCCGGGTCCCAGCCGGAAAAAGCAGTCTTCTTCATCCTCGTCATCGTCGTCCGAAGACAGTTCACCACGGGAGGAGGAGGAAACGTCCCAGCAATCGGACGATAGTGGAGAGGCGGACGACGATGAGTCGGATGAGGACAAGTCGCAGGCGGAGTCAGACGGGGAAGAACAGTCCGGGGAGGAGGACGAGTAGACATTTGTGAATTAGTATAGTGAGGGTAGTGTGTCCTTGCGCGCTTTTGTGCTCCTGAAATAACAAACTTTGCAAACTCCGCTTTTGGGATACTTTGCCTGACAGTTTTTTTTTGTCTTGAATCTTGTGATGTTTCTTGTTTTCCGCCTGTGTTTGAAAAATGGACATGCATCCTCTGATTCCTCTCTGATTGCACGCACAACGCTCAACCAGGTGAGTTACCGAATCCCAACAGTGTGTGTTTGCAACTCTGTGTGTGTGTGTGTGTGTGTGTGTGTGTGTGTGTGTGTGTGTGTGTGTGTGTGTGTGTGTGTTCTCCATGTTAGGCACTGTGTGTGTGTGTGTGTGTTCTCCATGTTAGGCACTGTGTGTGTGTGCCCGTGTGTGTGTGTGCGGCACTGTGCGCCTGTGTGTGCCTGTGTGTGTGTGCGTGTGCCTGTGTGTGTGTGTGTGTGGGTGGGTGTGGAAATAGCAGTAAAATAAAAAAATATATAATTAATGGTGTGCGCACCCGGCGCACCTGCGCCCCGCCAGCGCGCACCCCCTAGCGCACCAGCGCGCGGCGCACCGGCCCTGAGCGCAGCGCACTGCGCACCCGGGTGCGCGCGCACCTCGGGTCCGCGCAGCGCGCAGCGCGCAGGGTCGGTGCGCCGCAAGTATGATTGGAACACATAGCATAAGGAAAAAAAAAAAAAAAAAAAAAAGGCTCCCAAACAGTACCGGAAACGAGGCATAGAATCCATCGCAGACCACTCAACCCAAAACCAGGAAGGCAAAACCAATTCACGCAGGTCGGCGTCAGCAGATAGACATGGCTCAGACCTACCAGCGCCGCTTTAGCGCGGAGCTGCAACTAAAACAGGCACGTCAAAGCCTACCTCCCAGATTGCCTCCAATGTGGACCATGAGACGTTGTGCTTCCTCTTGGAAGGCCCACAAATTAGAGGAGAGAAAGTCACCATCAAAGTCAGAAACATCAAGGACAATACTGATGAAGAAGTGACAGCGTGGGCATATCCGAAAGACAAGATAGCCGATACGAACGCGACCTACGAGAAGCATGCGCTCATCTTCTCCTTCTCCAACGCCGAAGCAAGACTCTCACCCGTTGAAAAGAGGAAATGGATAGTGAAAACCATTCTGGAACAGGAGAACATAAAAAGTATTAAAAACTGATGCCGACAAGTTCTCCCTGCTCGGCTTGGGCAGAACCATGATGACGGTGGTGTTCAAGGACGCCACTCAAGCCACACACTTGCTGGAAAAATGCGAAACTTTGAACTGTAATAGCTCTGTCTGCACCCTGTCACGCTGGAGATCCGAAACAGCACAGGGAGCCGAAATCTCGCCAGCTGCCTCCTACAAACAGCGATTGATGAGGGAGCAGTTTTGGGTACAATTCGACAACATCCCTGTCAGAGGACACCCCCTCATCAAAGACCGCCTAGAAGTGGAATATCCAGCCAACAAGGTACTGAAGTGGGTCCTTCCCAAGCCTGACTTCTTGGCTCCCCACTGCGACTCAATCACAGCTATCTTGGAGGTACTCACCGACGACCCTCCGATCTTCCCAGAAGAGTGGCAATGTCTCATTGGAGACAAAGTCACGGCATTAATAGTCTCAACAAAGCCTCCCCAATCTGTTTCAGATGCAAAGCCAGGGGCCATCTGGGAACGGATCCCAAATGCCCGCGCTCCACCGAACAGAAAAAATTAAGGCAGAACATGTTAGTAGAGGTGGAAGAAGCTACAGGAATCTGGTTCGTCAACGACTCAGACTACGACGGCTGGGTCTTCGATGGCAACATCCCAGATCCCAAATGGATCTGGACCTATGCTAACACCACCCCATCGGTCAAACGGCCAGACATCTTCCCTTCTTCAGACAGTAAATGGCACCACGTGGGGGCAAAGAAGATTACCGGAATCCCAGGGAAAATCCACTTGGCCCCGGTGATCGACTCCCGAGTGATCAAGGAAGAAAAGAAACATGAAGACTTGATGTGGGATCTGGAGTCGATCTGACAGCAAATGGCTGCCTCTCTCTCCAATCCAGAGGACTATGACAACATCCTGGACATAGCCAAACAGGTCATCGAGGGACGAAGCCCACAGGCTGATCCCTCCCTAAAGAGACGGGCTTCACCCCAAAAGACCAATGACGACGAACCAAGCCAGAAGAAAACAAGGAAGGGCATTGCGCCTGCTGAGGGCAGCGAACCCTCTGAGAACCAGAACCCACGGGCCTCCTTAACAGGCCCAGATCATTTAGACCAGGATCTAACCCAGCAAGGAATGGATATATCTCCCACCAAAAAAGAGAAGGCAGAGAAATCAAAAGGAAAGGGGGACTCATATTTCGTGGCTGCAAGAATATCTCGAAAGAGCCAAAAACGAGAGAGAAAAAGAATTCGACATCCGCGTGGCATGCATAAAACATCAAGAGAAGACAGGCAGAAACAACAAGACCACAAAGTGAGCTATCATAGTTCAGTGCTTTCCTTTACCACGAGAAGAAGAGGGAAAGAGAAGCCCCGGGTTCAGAAGCGGAATCCAACGTGGACACAGTCCCACAAGGACCCAATCAGAGACATGGTACCAAAAAAATGGAAGCCTTCGAAGGGAAGAGACAAGAGGCCCAGGAAATCTCAAGCTGATACATTGGAAAAAGGTAGCGAGCAGCGATCCATCAAACGGGAGATAGCCATTGTCACTGCTCAGACAAAATGCCTGTTCGATCAGAATGAGGAATACCGCCAGAAACACAACAAAGAGTCTTGCACAATCCGAAATGTCGCGGAGAACTGGGCTCCCCATGTCATTTAGAAAGCAGCATCCGACCGCAAAACAGTCAAAGTCGTCAGACCTCTGGTCCCCGTCCGGTACAGGAGGAAACTCGGCGAGTGGCAGGTAGCCACCGATGTATCCTTCACTATCCCGACGTTGGGAGACCAGCGGTCCCTGGCCAGTACTATCAAAGAAGGGATCTCAGACGAATTCCCTGTGGGCGTTTATGAAGTCCCAGCAGCCCAGGCAGATAATGAAGACGAAACAGGCCAGGCCCCCGACACAGCCAAGTCCTTCGAGCCAATCTTAGTAAAACTGGATGAGCCAGATTACACGAAGGACTGGTATGGAGAGCGCGGAACACTGTGACAGCGCTGCCGTACAACACTCTTGCAGGTAAGATGTGCCCGACAGAGGTCATGGCGGTCTCCCTGACCTCCATTATCAGGTTCCACACCCTCATCACAGAGCACTCCCTGCAAGACGAAGCCAGGGCGCTCTACGTGGAGCCCGACGACGACAAGGGAAGTATGGCCGACGACGAGGGAAGTATGGCTGACGACGAAGACTGCGGGGTGGTTGACGGGATTTCCCCGGAAGGAGCAGGGACTGGAGCCACGTCGTTGCCCGAAGGAAGCGTGGGGGCATTCAGCCTGAGCTCCATGCCGGGGAAAGAGATCAGCGAGGGCAGGGAGAACAACGAGGACTCTGAGCGGGGCAGCCCCAAAATCTTTGCCGTTGTGGACTAAATATATCGAACCTCCAATTATCAACCCTGCCCAACAAACCCCCATCCCAACCGAGCAAAAAAAAAAAAAAAATAAAAAATAAAAAAATCAATCTGAGATTCTGAACACAGCACCCCGCCAAACGAAATCTAATGGACTGCAATGAGGATCAGTCTGGGACAATGAGGGTAGATTGGCAAGCCAGAGGACTGACAATCCACAGCTGGAACGTCAACGACTTGGATAACATTCTCAATGAAGACAACAAACTACGAGACATCAAACTCGGCCTCACAGACAAAAGAAAGCCCAAACCCGATGTCATCCTTCTACAAGAGACCCATCTATCAAACCTCACCAACCACACCAAAATCAAGAAGACCGTGGAAAAAAGCCTAGGCAGATGCCCTTCCACACTATGGTCCAACAAAGCGGACCAAAGCATCGTGGCGTAGCGATCCTTATACCAACTACATCCAAAATCTGGTCGGAAGGACAGGTAAGAAACAGCGAAGGCGACACAGCACAAGGAAGATGGTCATGGATCCAAATCACATGGCAAGAGGAAGAGATTAGGATCCTGAACATATATGCCCCCAACACGGAAACCGAACGCCTAGCTTTCTATGACCACATCAAGTCACTCTTCCCGAACCCCCTACCGCTAATCATTGTAGGCGATTGGAACACCACGATGGATCCCAGCCTGGACCGCATCTCCCGGGCAACACTTATGGGACCCACACGAGCGAGCACACACTTGAGAAACATCATGACGGAGTTCGATCTGATAGACCCTTTTCGAATCCTCCACCCACGCAAGAAAGCCTTCTCCCTAGTCAAAAGAAACTCAGGCGATTGGAACACCACGATGGATCCCAGCCCGGACCCCATCTCCCGGTGTCGGAGGGCGCGGTGTCCCGGCCCTCCGTTGCGAACCAGGCATTCGCTCACTTGCCTCCACAGTGTGCCAGGCGCCTAATTTCGTACCCCTGCTGCGGACCGAGTGCCTGCCAATCCACCTCTACTGCGGACTGAGAACGACTTACCTCCGCAGTGAGACTGGTCCAGTCGACGTCGACACCGACAAAGGGGTGGGTGTGTTGCTGGACTTTTACTAGTCCACGTAGGCTTGGTGCTTTGCTGTGCGGCAGGCCGGCCTGTGGCTGCAGTAGCCATCAAGCTCACCTGGAAACATGACAGTGAGAAGCAGGGGAGGTCTTTTCTACTGCACACCGAGCCCCGACAGTCGGATTTTGGGATAGGTATAGAGGTTGTTGAAACTCAAAAGAAGAAGGAAAAGCGAAAATAAAATAAAAAGGAAAAGAGGGAAGTGGGAACAAAAGGTTTACGTTCTCGTTCGGTTTCGGAAAGCTACCCCTGGGGGTTAAGTCGGGTGGTTCCACGGTTGTAGTGGCGCTAAGGTCTCTTCTCTTCTTTTCTTTTCTTTTCTTTTATCAATTCTTCTTTTCTGTTTTTTTTCTAACTTCAGTCCCCCGCCAGTCACATCGTGGGAGAGCGAACGGTCCGAGACTCAGATTATGATTTCAAGGTGGGTGGTCTGAT